AATTGATGACACAACTAGTGCCAATTAATACCTTTATCATAATTAAAAGTTAAAGAAAAAATCGGAGAGTATGAAAAAAATCACCTATTTTTTGTTCATTCTATACAGTTTTTAATTAACTCAAGGTGTGGAAGTCAATAAACATTTAAAAACAATTAAAAAACAGGTTTTCACCCCATTATAGTATAAAGTAAACATGATAAAACAAAGCTCTGAATACGAAAGTTGCAAATCTTGAAAAAAAGAGAATTTTTTAAAGGATTTATACATTTTTTTTAAGACTTGCTGCATGCAACGTGAAAATAATCTGTTCTTTTGCTTCAGATTATGTTTTAGATTTATGTTAGGTTGAGGAATGTTATGAATCTTATTCTACATTTGTGTGATTTGCGTTTACATCTAAAATAAGATAATGATTGTCTAACTGATCTAAATAATAGCTGACATCTGATGTAATGTTGCAAGTATTAATAAATTTTAAAAAATCTTTTCCACTCATACGCATGTGGTTGTAGGTATACCTACTGTTTGCTCTGGTAAAATCCTAACCTTCAACGTATCACATTGAGGAAGAAAAAAAAGAGATTCTCCTAAAACGTAGACATTCGTACCTTCGACAACGGGCGCAGCAGGCGCAGCTTCGGCTGGGGCAGCATCAGCCGGAGGTGCATCAGCCGGAGGTGCGTCGGATGATGGTGCTCCCTCAGCAGGTGGGGCCGCATCGCCGCCTCCTTCAGCTGGTGGAGCTCCTTCGGCCGGTGCTTCTCCCTCGGCTGGTGGTCCTGCACCTTCCGCTGGGGTCGCTCCTTCCGCTGGTGGGGCTCCGTCAACTGGTGCCTCTCCCTCGACTGGTTCAGCTATTCATTAGAGATGATACGGTTTTATCGAGAATAATTTTGTTACGGAAAATTGGTAGCTGTCCTTTAATGGCAATAATTGTATAATATGAGAAGGTATTAACAAATTTATCCTCCAGTAGGTTATACTCAGCGTAGAAATGTTTAATTCGGCGTAACAATGCACGCGTCTCATTTTGACGACAAACGATAAATTTTTTTAATGTTAAGAAAGTTTTTGAGATAACTATTTTTAGGCTCATTTTACAGCTCTTGAAGTAAAAACTAAGCCAAAGACCTCTCAGAAGCTGCAATTAGATATGGGAGGATCTCGACGTAATATCTTTTAATTTTCTAAGATCAAACTTTAACTGACTGAGGATAGAAGTTTTTTTGTTAAGCTGATTACTCATCCCAATCATACGTAGTTTTATTTAGTACTATCGTTACAAAAAACAGTTGTATTTTATGACTTAGTTCATAAAGTTTTCAATTTAATTCTTTTCAATTTTTTATCTCACTATATAATATTTATAAAAAGATTAGAACAATTCGACTAATTGCTTAAATAATTAACCCATGTATAAACCTGGTTGAAAAAAGATCCGTTCACATGATTAAATTAAAAAATTAGTCAATTTTCATAAATTGAAAAAAAATTATTGTAGTACTGTGTATTACGAATCTTATACGTAACTTTGCAGAAAATGATTTAAATTTTGTTTTTGTCATCATATATAAATTTTCAGTAGAAACAAAGGATCAACAAAACATTTTTTTGATTGTATCAGTAACTAAAAATAACTTGGTGAATGCACTTCCTAAAGCAAGCAATGCTTGCCATCCACCGTATGTAGCATACAAAAAAAAATAAGACACAACCACTGTAAAAATAGCCAAAAAATTACTAAAAGGTTTTTAAATAGAAATAGGAGACTAAAATGATTTTTATAAATTAACTAGAATCACAGTATCTTTATATAACGCACGGTAAGATAATTATTGGGATTATTTTCTAATTTTTAAAGAAGAAACTGGTAATTTTAAAATGAGACACACAAGAAAAAAATTTCCAAATTATCCTTACACGGATTGAGGATGTGGTAAATCTTGTTACACAGTTCGATGTCCACTTCAGATATCTCTGTTGAAGGTTCCGTTCCTTCCATGGCCTTAAGTTTCGAAAGGAGCAAATTAAGCACGTTCACCGGATTTGGTGGTGGTGGTTCTAGAAATTTATAATCATTCAACGCTTTTACAAGGCTCTATGAAATGAATTCTTAAAACAACGCAATTTTTATTAAAAAAATTAAAAAAAAATTGACTAGTTATTCTTATTGAAAAGTTTGTTCAAGTTCTTAGAAGGTGGCAGGTGTTTAGAAATACTTTGGGAATCATGGACAATAACAGCACATAACAAGAAACATTTTTGGGTATGAGAAACAAAAAATAAGTAAATAGGGAAATATGAAACAAAAAATGTAAATAAATAAATTAAAAATTTGTTAGTGCGTTTCTTAGTATTGAACAATACTTCTAATAAATAATTGTCGAAGCAATTTGACACAAGTTTGACTACTTAAATTACAGAACGCGTCGATTTCTAACATACGAAAAAATAATATTTCTATTACCGTCAATGAATTTAAAAAGTAATATTCCGTATACCAGACTCATCACAGTTGATAGTTGATCATTTAGTATTGAAAAATAATTTTAATTATTCAAGAACCCCCTAATCGTAATTTTTATCTTCGATACGAACAATAAGCCTAAATATTGAATATTGAATGGTAAACGAGAAACTTACGGTCATTCTTTTCAGGCATTGGCAGTGTGATAGTCATTTTTCTTACAATCGCTTTTACAAAAACTTAATACACTTAAATGCAATATTATAAGCACAACAATGTACTCATTCACGAGTGATGTACTCTTAAATTAGCAACAACCCGCTTCCGATGGTGTCTTGCTTTAGAATGATCGCGCGAGCTCGGCGCATAGCACCCATCGTTTTTTAAGTTGCGCAATGACAAAGGTGACGTAATTGATGACACAACTAGTGCCAAAGTAGTAGTGACAAATCAAAGTCTAAGTTGCCAAAGGCGACGCCCGCTCGCATCGAGGTTGACGACCACGAGACTTTTTTTTCACTTCTTCCGATACCTTGTACCGTTCTCTTTGATTTCAATTGTACGCTCATGCTTGAGAAGTACTGCTACAGGTCAGAGACATATAATTGTAAGAACAAGTTTTTTTTTTGGCCGAGACTGGATTATCAGTAAAAAATATTTTTTGGTCTTTTTTCCCCTCGAAAATAATATATTTGTGCTTGTGAGAAAAATAATATTTTGCTTACTGTTGCGTTTCCTTTGAACTTGATTTCTTAATAATATTTGTTAGAAATGCATATGTAAACACACCTCACAAGTGCAGCCACGATAGAAACTTAGCCTATAAAATAGCCCTAAAACCACCTGGCCTACCAGTAACGTTCTAACAATTTTTTTATTAAATTCTGGTTACACTCATATGACATAGCTTCTCAAGTTTTCAATTTAAACTTTGAAGGTACGTGAGTGTTTTGTAGTAATAATTTAATAACTCAGCTACAATATTTTAAGGAGTTAATTTTTAAAAACAGACAAATTTAATGTATAATTATATGAAAAACTGGTGAATTATAATATTTAATTCCACAGTTGTAAAAGTACAGTTTTAAAAAACATTTAAACAATTAGTATCAACAAATCTGACTTTTTTATTTGTTTTATTTACATTGTAATTCCACCGTTTGTTTTTCTATCCAAAAATCACTTTGAATACTACTGTAAGTACTAAATTATGCTCAAAACATTAATTTAAAGGTAAGTATTACGTGAACGAGGTCATAGGACATTGTTTTTTTATATTTAATAAGGATAGGTAGGTAGAACCTATTTAATAAGGATAGGTTTTATTAAATAATACATCAAATTGTTATTTTTATAGGATACATATATTGGATACACATAGTTAAATATTCAAATACATGATACTATCATTATTAACCCTTCAGACAATATTGGTGTCACCTTCGTGAGCATGTATTAATTGATCTTTTTCTTTATTTTTTGAAACAAATATTAATTGATGTAATTTTGCTTGAATGTATAAAATTTGTGTTAATGTAAATTTTTTATAAAGAATAAACTATTTTAATACGAAAAAAAAGACAAATATTTATAATTTTTTTCCATTTTAATAATTTTTAAAGATATTTGTCATTTTATTGATAACATATTGATCTGAAGGTATTAATTTAACAAAAAACTTATAAATTTCATTTTAAGCAACTATTGTAAGTCACTATAGAACATAAACATGATTAATAAACATGGATAGCTCTAATAAGCTAATATATTAGACAAATTTTAAAAGTAAGAACGCCGTTTTTATATTAATTGTACGGACACTTAAAAATACTTATGTCACTCAGAATGATTGAAATGTAAATCGAATTAATATAAAATTGGTAAAAAGTTTTGAAGACAATATCTAAAGTGGATACAAAAAAATTTACAATATTCCAATAACACAAAAAAAATTTTTTGTTTCACACGTAATAATTGACAAATCCACTTTACAATGTTACGATATCTGTTTCCAGTAAAATTAAACAAAAAGGTAAAAAATCATAATTATGGACCTGAATTTCTACATTAAGCTTCACGTACATTTATCAGTAAAAAAGTAAAAAATAATTTATCGAAAAAATTTATATTCCACAAATGTAAATGCAAATGTTCATTACGAACCAAAAAACAAGAAACAGATTAACCATGTACACATATAAGTAACTAATTTTACTAACACAAAGATAACATAATATGAGCATACGAAATACTAACACAATCGTCTATAAATATTTAAAGACAAAATTTATGAAACAGTGGTTTGAAACAATTTGTTAGACTGTGCAATAAGTACTGAAGTCAATTCGTAACTACCTTTTGGAATAGGAGATTTCGCTTCTTCAATCACTGGTTCTGGTTCTGTTGAAAAATTATGTATTATTATTCAGTTTAAAATCAACAACATTCACATATACATGATTAAATAAGTCAATTTGATCATTTTACAACTACCGACGTATTTATTGGCAAATACATACTCTAATAATTATAATTTCCTTTTTTCAAGAGGATTTTAAAGGATGAAAAAAGAAAAAAACTTGAAGGGGTGTTAAACGAAAAATTAAAGTGTAAAAAAAATTCAAAAATGAGTTTTATCCACATTTAAAAACAATCCATTTCGTACTAGTCAAAGTATTAGGTTAAGATCCCTGTCTTTAACGTGTTCTCTAATATGGAAGTAACCCTTTTGCATTTTGTATGCTAAAATTTCTGAAAAGATAGCTAAGATAGTTTCATACATAGCAAGAAATTGGAATGCTACAGGAGCATGTATTTTTCAATCTTCAAAAATTATAGAAAGACTTCAATGTTATTTGCAGCTCAATCTGTTTAAAAAAAAAAAAAAAAAAAAACACAATTTGCTTTCCTTTTTGACAATCATTATCCGATTCAAACATAAACAAAAAAATTTTACAAACTTATGTGATTGGATTATACTTTTGGTTTGTCGAAGAATTGAAATCACTTGTTATTAATTTTAATCAATCATATTGATTAGTTTTTACATGAACATGTATTAAAACTTTTTAGATGTGACGAGGCTATCAAAAAAGCAAAGCAAAATTTTTTTTTCAATAGATTCAATAGCAAATGCCCATGAAGCCTTTCAATAATTTTTCACTATTTTAGCTGTTGTGAGAATCGTTTGTTTATTTAAATAAACTACCTTAAGTATATAAGTAATTAAAAAAATGGTTATTTGTTACAATTCTATCTAATATTTAACTATGAGTAGAAGCATTGCCATGTAATAAAAAATTTGTCGAAGCAGTGTTAAAAACATATTAAGATATAATAAGATAAAACAGCAAATTAACTTCATTGAATAACAATGTGTTGCACTAGACTTATAACATATATTTTTTGACGACTTTTTTTCGGGCATTGTTGTAAATCAAAATACTTTCAATATTCTCATCATTACTATGTTTTACAATTCTCATGTAAAATATTTATGAAATATTCAGGTTCTTGTTTAGGTTGCATGGCATGCTTAAAATGTAATTCTAATTTAAAATTCTTTCAATTACTATATTACTTGTACTCTCGATGAGACTGTGATACAAAAATAGCGAAAGAAACCTTTTTTTCCACCTACTTGATCATATTAGTGCTCAATTAAATACATACCGAAATACACTGATATTAAAAAAAATTATTCGATGTTTAAAAAACGTTATAATTGAGCAATCTCGTTACCTGGTTCTGGCTCAGGTGGAGGTGGTTCTGGTGTCTGAATTGGTGGTGTTGGTGTTGGCTCGGTAGAGGTAGCTTCTGATTCCGTTGTAGTTTCGCTAGCCGCATCTGCTGCTAGATCCTCCTAGGATAAAGTATTTTCATGAAGGTTGAAATCAACAACTTTTCAAAATAAAAACCCGTATGTAACTTGTAAATGTCACAAATATAAGACAATCGCAGCAAAACAGCAAGACAAATACTGAATTTTATTTAATAAAAGCTAATAATTGAAGTTAAACAGTATAGTTATCGTAGATAGTGTTACTGATGAGTTGCTACTTGATCGTTACTTGAAACCGGTTTTTTTATCATGAAATTAGCAACATTATTCATTTGTGGTTATAATATTACATCCAACATTTTTATGCAAAATATTACAAATATTATTAAAACATTAGAGACGTTATAGCTGATGAAAAAAAAATTTGAAAAAGTAATATTTTCATTTCTCAATCACATTAAATAAATAAATACAATTAAACTTTTCTTTATTGAGCACTATTCTGAAAAGTATTTTAATTACGATCATCTAACAGATTAAGGAAAAAATAGTATCTTTTTTTCATTTCTGAATCAAATTAAATCAATAAATATAATTAAACTTTTCTTTATTGACTACTAAGTAAAAAATTTTTTAATTACTACCGGTCTAATAGATTAAGGTAATTTACTTAAAGAATTTTTTTATTATGATAAACGTACTAATTTTTACGTTAACAATTTTTTTTAAATATTTTTGTATACGATTATTTATTCCTTTACAATGTATAATAATTATAAATATAATATTCCAATGTTATTATAAATTTTGGGACTGATTTTAAATTTTTCGACTTGTATTATTTATAAAACTATATTAAACGTAGTACGCTCTTGAAACATAACATACAATACTATCACTAATTGTATACATAAAATTTGTTATTTTGTACTTAAACAATAAATAAAAATAAGTTTTGTGTAATGTTAGTAGAGTTATTACCCTAGAAAATGTATTAACTTGTTATAATATACGCCAGTATTATGATTTTAATTGTATTTTAGTTATGATGCGCTATTAGTGACATGTGATTTCGGTAGTCATCGGTAATGATAGCGAAAAGAAAAAAAAACAATGTATACATTGACTAAACTATGAATTGGAAAAAAAGTGTACATCAAATATTATTTTCTAAAAGCTTTTTCTCCTTTTCTTCGGGCTTGAGAAACTTGCGACACATTTGCAGTTTTTCCTACTAGGACAACCGCCTATTCATAATTGGGTCAGGTCATAATTGCTACAATGAATGAATCAATGATTTTTTCCACGTAAACTAACAAGATAAAAATTTGAATAAATACATTTACAAAAATAGGGAAAAAAAGGGAAAAAAAGTAGTACCGGTAAAAAAGTTGATGGGTAAAGTGAATGTGTAAAATCACTTACTCACAATAACCCAGCACTGTACAAACTAAGTTAACAGTTTTAAATAATCAGACGATACATTGATAGGTTTGAATCACATTACTAGCTTTTAGAATTATATTTTTTGAAATAAAATATTTATTTAAAAGTAACATTTTTTCCTAATATAAATTATTTACAATGAATGATTGAA